TAGGGTTTTAGGGTCTTAGGGTTTTTTGGTTTTAGGGTTTAGGGTTTAGGGCAGTTTAGGGTTCAGGATTTCAACTTAGGGGTGTAGGGTTCAGCACTGGGGGGTATGGTGTTTAGGGCTGGAGGGCTTTGGGGGTTTGGGGTTGTAGTGGTTTCGGCCTGTAGGGTGTAGGGTCTTAGGGTTGAGGGCTGTAAGGTTAAGTTTTCTTGCGGTGCGGATTTTGAAGTTTGCTTTTTCGGGTTTGGGGTTTAGGGCTTAGAACCGTAAATTAGGGGGCCTCAGCAAAGGTTCACGATTTTCGGGGTTTGGGGTTTAGGGGTTCGCAGCAAATCTCCTTGCCCTGTCACTCTGCTCGGACTGTTTTTGTGTAGTTCTCTAAATTACGGTCCCTTTTAGGGTCCTGTTTATGAGAGTGCCGTACTATTTTGGGGACCCAAAAAGGGATCCCAATTTGGAGAACTACCCATGTGATATTGTACATCAACCTATTTCATCAGACAGATTATAGTCTTCTTCAGTATCTCATAGAGTTATCGCTCTCGTGTTCAGAGTACGCGATAGCCTTAAGTCTGTCGAATTATATAGTATTATCTAGCATTACATGGTTGTGCATATGGTTGTACATAGTAGTACATAGTAGTACATAGTAACATAGTACATCGTAGTACAGAGTAGTACAGAGTAGTACATAGTACTGCACCGTATTACATAGTACTATGTCGTATCTTATCGCACTATATAGTGCCATAATGACCTAAACCCTAAACCCCAAACCCCAAACCCTAAACCCTAAACCCTAAACCCTAAACCCCAAGCCCCAAACCCCAAGCCCTAAACCTTTGGCCTCGTGAAGTCATAAAAGGTGCGCCGTCCACGGATGCTGCACCTTCGCCCGGCGAGGAGTTTCTCGGCTTTCCTTCGGGCAAGAACTCCAACCCCTACACGCTGTATGTAGACCCCATGACTACATTGATAGGTCCTAAACCCTAAACCTAAACCCTAAACCCAGAACCTTAAACCCGGAAAGCCAACATGCTCGACGATGCAGGGCTTGTGAGCTCTCGGGGCAGGGTTGTGAGTTTCTGCAGTAAGGAGAGACTTTAGGGGGTGCCCCTACGGCTTCGGGCGTGGTGACTGGGATTCTAGGGTTCAGGTTTAGGGTTTAGGGTTTAGGGTTTAGGGTTTAGGGTTCAGGTTTCAGGTTTTGGATAGGGTTTCCCAAGCCCTACCTGTCGAGCCCTACTAGCACCTAAACCAGCAGCCTCAGATTCGC